TCGGGGAGGAGGCGGAACGCGACGAGCACGTCGGCGGCGGCGAGGGCCTGGGCGGGCTTGGGGAGGCCCGCGTAGCCGTGGCGCAGGAGCTCGGCCAGCTCGCGGCACGCCGTCGGGTAGTCCCACGGCCGCGACAGCGCTGCCGCTATCCCCATCTCCGCGTACCTCTTCGCCACCCCCGTGTCCTGCGGCCGCGGGGCCCGCCGCCGCACCGGCATCGCTGGGCGCGTCGAAGCCCCACGTCGCCGTCGCCTCGTCGTCCCGGCCGCCACGCGACGCCACGCCAACCGCCGTTCACGGCCTCGCGGAGCCGGGCTCCACCAATCTCTGCCTGTTTTTGGGCGTCGCGTAGGAAAGCTTTTTGCTCGACCGGTGGTGGGTCGTAGCAGGCTAGCGGAAGAACGCGTGTAGGGCGCCCACGTGATTGATGGGCTGTCACGGCTGTTCGGCCCATTGACAGCCAGAGCTTGCTCACTGCTCGAATTTTTTTGGAGCTCACTCTTTTTTTTTCTGGCAAACTTTTCTTTTTGGTAAACCGTGGAGCTCACACGAAAAACTAGTAAACAGCAACTGGATAGATCGAGTAAAACTTCTCTTCTCATTTTGTTGGTACAATGCCATGGCCGAGCAAGACTGCCAAATGAGTCACATGTCAACATTATGCGACAAATAAATCAACCAAAAATGATCAATGCAAAGCAAGCAATATTTTTTTAATTTTTTTAAAGTGGGGTTATAGCAAGCAAAAAAGTTGCATGGCTTCTAACTCCCATGTCACATGAGCATGGATGCACACCAAAAAACAATTAACTGATTCTTGGATGTCATATCATCTATGTGTGAGCAAGCTGTCGTTGCAATCACTTGCAATTTGATGCGGTGTAGTTTTCAAACTCATTGAACTGGTCATGAACTCTTGACAAATATTTCAAACCGTTTTTGTCTGTTCCACATATATAGGATACATGCTAATTCACAACGAAGCATGGCACAACAACACATATTCCTTTGCGGTGTATGTATTACCTCTCTTCCCCGCCTTTTTGGTTTGAGTCAGTTTCCCAACATCATACATCAGCTACTCTTGATCACCAATGTCAAATGTTGCAGGCACTTGACCATCGTTGATCATACCTGTCATGAATTTATCCTAAATATGCATCACCATGAGTTGTCGTATCATAAATATTGATCCTAAGAGTATTTTTTCGATTAGCATTCATAGCTCCGGGTGTCCGCATCCGAATGATCTACGTCTAAGAACAATGACGACAAAATGAGGACCGAGTACAAGAGAGGCATGTAGTGAAGAACGGAGCTGGGGGTGGGAATCAAGCGCGGGGTGGGGAGGAAGAGAGGAGAGGTGGCTAAGGAGGTAGGGCTTTGGGGTGAGGATCGACTGTCTGGCCTGGCCCGATGTCTGGCCTGGCCCGATGGACAGTCTGGATAACTCTGTTCCTTCCTCACGTATGAACAAAGTTTGGGGGAGTCCAGACAATCCTCGCGGGAGAAATGGCTATGCCAAGGAGATGCCATAAACTGCCTATGCATCTAAAGGATACACAGGCACACAACCTTATGTTCAATCAAGTAATTTGTATAAATAAAAATACCAAGCACAAGATTATGTAAAAATTCATGCACAAATGTGCATGCCACATATAACTAATTTAGCAATGATTTTCTTCCTTTTCTGTCTGAGCAAACATAATTGCTAGTGACAAATTACAAATGCCATCATTAACATGTATTAGTAACCGAGAATGTGCCACAACCGGTAACATTGAGCACGAGTCAAATCTTGTGCCATCTTACAAGCTTCTGATGCGCTAGTGCCACTCATATCACACTGCAAGAACACTGCAATAAGGAGACAGCAGGCACGGACTCGACCGTGTCAATCCTGTTGCTTGCAGCGGTATGATCGATGGCAGCTGGTTCCTCCTACGTACCGTGGCTACATCAAAATTCATTCTCTTCTCATTTCTCCATGGATCTACCTGCCAAAAATGAGCCCCTCCTCATATCGAGTCCAGCTTGTTCTGCTTGAGGAACTCGAGGTCCTTGAGCTGCCGCTGCGCCACCTCCTTGGGCACCACCTTGGCGCCGGGGCCCCTCCTCTCGCCGGAGGCCACCTCCTTGGCCACGGTGGACACCATCCTCTCCACCGCCGGCCTCCCCACCGACGGGAACACCGCGTTCAGCATGGTGCACAGCAGCCTCTCGTCCTCCGGCTCCACCATGTCCTGCCCGAAGCAGCACACGTAGATGGCCTCCAGCGCCTTCTCCGCCCGCGCCTCCATCGGTATCACCGGCGCCTGGCTCTTCGACTTTGCCCGTTTCTGCACACACATCGCGGTTCATGCCGTCCGTCCGCTCAGTGGCCAGGGGCCAATATTGGCACTGGAATTGCAGAGAGTGAGTTGATGTGGTGAATGTTTGAGTGCTTTATTTACCTCCCTTGCAATCTTCATCATGTCGAGGAAGGTCTCCTCCTCGTACTCGATGTCGTTGGACATGCGGAGCCGGGCCACGCCTTCCAGGATCTCCTCCGTTTTCAGCAGCCCGGCGCCAATGGCGGCCAGCCAGCAGCAGAGCAGGACGTAGAAGGGGTCTCCCACCTGCGCACGCACGCACGCGGCAAATCAATGATTCACCGCCACGGTTTGGAAAGGAGCCGGGCATGTAGGATTAGGAAGACGCACCTTGCCGCGGCGGTCGTTGAAGTCGTAGAAGGCCTGGGAGTCCATGACGGTGCACTTCTTGCTGACGCGGCGGCGGAACTCGGCGAAGTCGACGGTGTCGCCGCCGACGCCGCCGTCGTCGCTCAGGATGCGCGCCACGAGGCCCACCACGGGGAGGGCCCCGACGATGCGCCCCAGGATGGCCGCCGGCGAGTTCGGGTCCGGCTCCATGTACGCCACCACCGCCCCATGGCGCCGGCGCCGGCAGTGCTGCTGGGCGGGGGGACGGCAGGGCCGCCGGTGGCGCGGGAGGAAGGGGGAGGCGAGCGAGAGCTTGTGGGCGACGGGCAGCACTGTTGTCCCCATGCCCGACGATGGGGTTTTTCTTGGACGCCCTGCGTGTGGTGGGAGTGGCGCGCGCCTTATCTGCCCATGGTCTGGTGCATCGACTCGACTCTGCTGAGATTTACCAGCGCACGCGTTCTCTACGAGTCCTGTAGAACCTTTGGGCAGGATCAAACCTTTCACGGTCAGGTTTCTGAATCTTCTAACTTCAGTTTCAGACTTTCGAAATTTTAACCTTTTTTTCTTCCAAACTGAGAAATTTTAACCTTGATTCACAAAGGAAAACCTTACTACTAGGCTACTAGCTCTTTGACAGCATCAGAGCATCTCCAACAACCGCCCAACGCGCGGCGTGCTAAAAATTACTTCGCAGCGCACCCATCGCTTGGTTTGGCACGGCGGGCATCGTTGGGTCCAGCAGCCGTGCTAAAATTTAGCACGCGCACAGCTCCAACAGCGCGCACGACTCATCGGCGCATGCCATATGTTGCATCTTAAACACAAAATGAATTTCAAACATTCAAAATGCAATGAACATGGCATAATAATTTCACACAAACAAGTTGATGACTAAAAATTCATGTCCACAAGTTCAAATTCATGCCCACAAAATCATCCAACCAAGTTCAAAATGCAAACCAAGTTCATGACACAAACGAAAGGCACATCAACAATCAAGCCTCGTCCTCGTCTTCATCCTCATCTTCCTTCGATTCATCCGACTCCTCCGAAGACGATCCTTCCTCCTCCTCTTCATCATTATCGCGCGCCGCATCACGTGACGCTCGGGCGGTGTTGGCAAGATCTTCAACGGCATCTTCATGGGAAGGTGTGTGAGGCACACCGGAAGACATTCCGCCCATGCCATCTTCCTCACCTCGTTGGTTTTTTTTTTTCTTGCCTTCACAATAGCTTCCATAGCATTTTTGAGCTCATCATCTCCTTTCCTCTTCTTCTTTTCTTTTGCGTCTTTCTTGGTTCCATCCGGTCGTTTTGGCTTCGAGTATGAAACCGAGTTGGGTGTGATGCTTCTCTTGCCGTCATCACTTGATGCCTCATCCTCCTCATCATCATCCTCCAACTCAATTGTTTGCTTGCGTTTGTTGCTCAAATCCAAATCATCTATATCATCACGCTTCTTCCATTTCTCATCATCCTTCAATACTTCATAGCAATGAGGCAAGGTAAATGGCCTTCCTTTCTTGATCTCCCCCTTCTTGGTCCTCTTCTACTCTCCTTTGAACAAGTTTTGTGCAATATTGTACTACATGAAAACAAAACACCCATGGTCATCGAAATGCATGTCATTGGTTTGAGACCAATGCGAATTGTTGGAGCCAACACCCATAGTTGACATGTATGCATCATCATGGAGACTACAAAGTATATAGAACAATGCGAATAAGCTATCTATATGTATGCATTCAAAAAATAGCAACAAAAAATAAGTTGGGGAAAATTTCTACCTTTGGGGCATTTCCTCGAACACATTGTGCGCGCCGGCTGCCGGCTCAACAAGTGAGCTCGCCGGCACTTCGATAGCCGCCGCGCCCGTCACACGCCCTGCAAGCTTCTTCCTCGACGCCTTCGACGTGCCGGAGCCATCCGCCACCTTGTTCTTCTTCGCGGATGTCTTGCCCTTCTTCGACCGCGTCGCATTTGGGAGCTTCGAGGGGGGGGGGGCACGTGGCTTCACGGCGGGTGCCAGCGCGACGCCACCCGCCGCCGAGGTCATCCGCGGTGGCATGAAGAGGCCGCGCGCGATGCCGATGCTCAGAGGAGCTTCGGCGAAGGCAAGGCAAAGCTCCCCGCGCTAGGGTTTGCGGCGGCGGCGGCGGAGGGGCTGCGACTGTAGGAAGGGGTGAGGGGGTGCCGACGCGGGCGTCCATCAAGTCAATCCGCCGGCGCCGGCGCACGCGGGGCGAAGGTGGTACGATGGAGAGAGTGTGTCCCGAGCGCTCGTGTGTGCCGCGCGCGGAAGCGAGCGCCCCAAATACACAGCGTGCGATGGCGATTCGAACCGCGCGCCTAACTCTATATGCCGCGCGCACGGTTATTGCGCGCCCGCTGGAGCCCCTCTAGCGATTGCGCGCGCTAAAAAGGGAAATTTTGCGGCACGGCGCTTATTTAGCGCGGCTATTGGAGATGCTCTCAGTGGGAGCACATATTTAAGACACGGAATAAGCAACAAAGACCTTTCGTTCGATGGAAATTTTGATGTTCCCCGAGAGTGGTTTTTTGAGAGAACACTCTGGTACGTCTGATCTCGAGTGTGAATCTCAACGCGGTGACACGTGGCATCCTCGTGACCGTGGGCGTACCACCTAGTCACATAGCATGACATCCGCCTATGATGTAGCATAACAATTACCGAAATCATGTATGCCAACTTCTCTACATAGTATGACAACTTCTCTGCATAGCATGGCAATTCATGGACATGCATGACAACTTTCTCTATTGTAGCATAACATTTTTTTGTTGTAATATGACAATCCTCTTCTACAAAAATGACAATTCTCTTATGCTGCAACATGTCAATTTCTAAACATGTGGACATCTTTCTCTTCTCTTTTAGTCTGGCAAGCCTTTGTTGCTGCATGCTACCTCTTTTAGCACTGCGTTGGTTTTCCCTGAAAAAGAAGGGATGATGCAGCAAAGTAGCGTAAGTATTCCCTCAGTTTTTGAGAACCAAGGTATTAATCCAGTAGGAGGCTACGCGCGAGTCCCTCGTACCTGCACAAAACAAATAAATCCTCGCAACCAACGCAAATAGGGGTTGTCAATCCCTATAGGGCCACTTACGAGAGTGAGATATGATAGATATGATAAGATAATATTTTTGGTATTTTTATGACAAAGATGCAAAGTAAAATAAAGGCAAAGTAAATAGCAAAGTAAATAACTAAGTAGTAGGAGATTGATATGATAAAGATAGACCCCGGGGCCATAGCTTTCACTAGTGGCTTCTCCCGAGAGCATAAGTATTCTACGGTGGGTGAACAAATTACTGTTGAGCAATTGACAGAATTGAGCATAGTTATGAGAATATCTAGGTATGATCATGTATATAGGCATCACGTCCACGACAAGTAGACCGACTCCTGCCTGCATCTACTACTATTACTCCACACATCGACCGCTATCCAGCATGCATCTAGAGTATTAAGTTCATAAGAACAGAGTAATGCCTTAAGCAAGATGACATGATGTAGAGGGATAAAATCATGCAATATGATAAAAAAACCAACGCAGTAATGCCTTAAGCAAGATGACATTCGTTCACGCCAGGGTCCTCTGTAGGGAACTTCAGACCCCTATTAGCGTCATTAGTTCAAAGCATTGATGTCTCCACCACTATAATCATATTGTTGGGCCACCAAAAGTATATTCGTGAAAACCCAGTTATAATACAAACTTGTGGAAACGAAGCGAAAAGCATGGTTCAAAGATTATAACAATTCTGTAAGAAATATTGTATGATCAAGAGATGATGTTCTACAGACATGTAAAATTCAAATTGAAAATCAAATTCATTTGTGTGGTGCGGAAAAACCAAATTTGATAGTGAATAGTGACAGAACAACAACAACATTTGTTCATGCATAATTTTTATTTTGATTGCCTCCCAAATGAATATGGGTTGGAATATCAAATTTCACATGCTTATGTAACATCACCTTTATAATAGAACATATTTCATGAGAATGTTTTGAAACTTCCTGGTATGATTTTCTTGAGGTTTTCATTTTAACTCGGTTTCCGCCAGATACTTTCTCAAACCTCTCACAAAATGATCTGGCAACACGCCCAAGATCACATCACCCCTTCTCCCAATGTGTCGTCGTGAACATGACCCAAAAGAAGCAAAGCAGGACTTTTGTTCCTCAACCGTAACAACTTTCATGTTAAAAACTATTCACAAGCTAATAAACTCATTTTGAATGAAAACCTCATTATCAATTTATGAGAATATTTTCCACCCCCCAAAAGGATAATACCCCAAGGGTGAAAAACGAGCCTAGAAATAAACCTACCCAAATATGTGATGAGTCACAACTCACCAAAATGTGAGGGTAGCCCAGACCAGCCGCCGTCATGACACAAATTTTGTTATGGTAATGCACGTAACTCAAAATAAAAGCAATGTCAAATTATGAAGAACATGAAGATATGCAGTAACTCAAAAACATTTGAAACTAAATTATATTTATATTTCCCATATTCAACATTTTAAGCTTACCGGTAAACTCATCGACCAGTTTTTTTAGCAGTTTTGCTCTTTCTGGTTTCGCACTGAAAATCTCTATCTTATACAGAAGATCACTTCACCATTGTAACTAGGTAGCAATGTTTGAATATTAATTTGATGGTTTACATGTAATTTTTCATTCTTTGCTAAGGGAGGCCATACTGATTTTCTGCTGCGTCTAAGAGAAACTCAATGTTATCGCATATTTGTACGCATTTTTTTACTTCATCCTAACTCACCATGTTATTAAAATTTGTTATTTTTATTGATATACATCATATGTTATGCTCTTTTGAATAATATATTCAAGTACAACTAGCAAAATTTGACAATGACAACACTCATTTTACGCTATTGTGCATATTTTTTTATACATTTCTGACACTTAACGCAAAAGAACATTTTTAGTGCTAACCAAAAAAATGTATTTTGAAGCAAAAAATTAATTTTATTTAATTTGGATTTCCTAAGAATATATCTCTCGTTACAACAGATTTTACAGTTAATCTAATCAATCTAGTAGTAGCACATTAAATGTTTGTATATAATTTCTCCTATATTAAATATCTAACAAATTTGTGAAGTGTTTTAATTTATAAACCAGGCACATAACTTGGGAGAGGTTTCTAGAATGCAATACTACCAAGTTCCATCATAACTAAAAAGATAACTCTAAAATTATATGAAGTGGTAACTATAGTTTCTCCCTTCTTCCCTCGTTGTCATGGTGACAGGAGGGGAAATGATGAGGATATTGACCTGAGCTCGC